CTTTTCCTATAAGTTCAGGAGATATAAAAGTTAACTCAAAGATATTTTTAAAAAATAGACGGGAACTATTCCGTACAATTAACGTTGTACGTTAATACCTTCAGCGGTCCTTCTACCATAATTCAGAATTATATAAATAAGAATAAAATAAGTATCCAATTTTATTTAAATTAAGAAGGATAAAGCAATTTACCTAATAATTGTTCAAGTCTTCTATCTACTATGTCAGATTAATTTCAATTGGTAAAATACATGATTTGTAATCATCGATATGCTTGTTCGAATCAGGCATCTGGCAAATAAATATTATAGAAACGAAATCGCCGCCCGTCCTAGCTTTGTTTAAAATATTTTATAATTTAGTTAATTCCTTCGAGTTAATTCTTCGGAGATCTATTTAGATTAAAAAAAATTAAAATTGACTTAATTTAAATAAAATTAAAATTAAAGTATCCGGGTCATCAGGAAAGGTATGAACAGTTAACATTTTTATAGAAAGTTTTATACTTATTAAAATAAGTATAATGTAAAGTATTTATAGAGATATATTAACTATTCTTTCATTAAGAACAAAAATTATGTTTGGTAGAACTGATGAAAAACATCAATTGTACGATTCTACATCTTTTATAGAAGCTAGAAAAAAATTAATACTGTTGGTGGCTTTTCCTTTTTTAGAACTAGTAAAACTAAGTTTATTAAAATAAATTTTGTATTATTTTTCTGAAGATAGGGTTGTATCAGGCTTTTAAGGATTTAAAGTTGTTGAATTTTTTAATGTTAATTATATATTATCATATATTATATTAAGAGTTGAAAATTATTTTAAATGGATCTTATTTACAATTATTAAATAGAACTCTAATTTATAATAGAAAAATCAAATTAATATATTATTTTTTCTAAATTAATACTTAATGCGACATACCAAAATATAAATAATAATAAGATGTTATATGTAAAAGAAAAATTTATAAAGAAACTTTTATATAAAAGGTTCGATTCTATTCTTTAATTTAAGGGAATGTTGTAATCTGAAACTGCTTGGAATTGAATCATAAAATTTCAAGAGTCATCTTTATATGGACAAAATTAGGATTAAAGAGAAATATATATTTAAAAATGGGTAGTAAACATCCTGTGAGCTTAAGATTAAAAACAAAACAAAATTGGGGTAATACTTCATATTATTTTAACTCTAAAAATGAACAATATAATTATTGGGGTGTAGATAAAATAGCTTTAAATGTTATTAAACATTATTTTCAATTTGCTTTAATTTCAAAACCTAAATTTAATAAAGATTCTAATAAAGTTGTTATTAATTTTTATTATTTTTTAAATTTACCGATATCAAAACGATTTAATCCTTATGGGCAATCAAAAAGAATTCAATCATCTTTACAAGGAGATGTTACAACTAATAATAAAAATTTATTACCTCTTGAAGCTAAAGGATATTCTAAATTAATATTAAAATTATCAAGATTTTATGGTAAACCTGTTGAATTAAGACCTGTAAGAATTCATTATCCTTATTTAAATTCTTATATTTTAGCACAATATATAGCTATTAATATTCGATTAGGTAATTTTAATAAATTAATGCGGACTTTATTTAAAAAAGCTAAGTTAGTTAGAAATAATAATATAAATACTACTAATTTCAGAGATTTAATTAAATATTCTTCTTTAATTAATAGACCTCAATTTTTATCGGGTTTAAAAATCCAAATATCAGGTCGATTATCTCAACGAAAAGCGGCTAGTCGAACTAGAATAGTTAGAAAATCGATTGGTACTCTAAGATTAAGTTCTTCCACTTCTTTAATCGATGCTAGCAAATTTAGTTTTAAAGGAAAAAATGGAGCAGCAACAGTAAAAGTTTGGCTTTCTTCATGTACTGTAAATCCATTAGTTAATAATAGTACTGTTAAAAATACTACATTAATTAACACCCCCCTTATATAACATTTTAATTATCTAATTTAAATTAATAATGTTTCTGCCCCCCCGCAAACTTGGAAAGAGAAATTCTATATTTAATAAATAAACATTCCTGTTCAGACCCCAAGGATTTTTTAGTTATTATATTAAAAAGTTTATACCCCTAAGGGCCTAAAACAGCTCAAAATAGTTTTTTTTCAATAAAATTATTTAAAAAAAAAATTATTTATTTAGCTATCTCCGTAAACTTTATATTTTAATTCAGCCTTTGATGTTCAGATCTATCTCAAGATCTTATAAAATATAATGCAAAGTTTATTAAAATAAATTTAGTTTGTGAGGACCAGGAAAGGATAGGGAAACAAACAGTTTTTGAGCCTTTTTTTTAGGTTGAAAACAAACAATTAACCTTTTAAGAACTTTCTTAAATACGACAATAATGTATTTAGTTTTTATCTATCTAAAATATATATATATATTAATAATCTTTTTAAAGCCTGAATCCTCGAAATTAAAAAAATAGTTCATCTAATATATATGAATCTTTTAATTATAATAGGTTAGTTAGCATAATTGGTAATGTATTGGTTTGCAAAACTTAAGGTCGTATGTTCGAGTCATACACTAACCTAATTAGTTCTTTTAATAAAAAATTTTTTTATCAAATAAAATTATATTGTATAAATCTTTTGATAATTATATAGAAACGACAAAATATCTTGAGTGCAGTAAACATATATTATTTAGATATATAGATAAAAACAAGTTATTTAAAAAACAATGGAAATTATCAACATCTTTAATAATCTAAAGATATTATAATAAAGTCAAAATAAATTTATATGAATACCCCTCTTCTATAAGAAACTCCAAAAATAAAAAAAATTAGTTTGTAAGGTGGGAGTTTCTTAGATTATTATAAGCCAGATTCAGTACAAATTATTTCTTTTTCCCTTTTGGAGAGACATATAAATCCTTCCTTCTTTATTTTTTGACCCTTCGCAAATTTACGGGAGACAAAAAAGAAAAATAATTCTTTGAAGGATAGTTTTATTATAGAATTAATCAGAATTATGACATAACATACTTAATAATAAAAATGGATTATATTAAATTTTTGAAAATATTTAGCTTATATTATATTTTTAATTAAGTTATGTCTAATTACTCGGAAATTCATCTTACTCTTAAAGAGCTAAACTATAATAGGTCTTATATTAACATTCTTTAGACTTTAAAGGACCTCGAGGTCTGAATAGGATTTATGTTAATTAAAAAAAAAATAATATTCGTACCATCAGAAGTGCGAACAGTAAAAAGACTTGATTTCTTTAAAAGTACCTCAATTTTTTAATGATATATTTAAATATTATATTATTCCCGTTCAGAAAAGGTATATTAAATTTATTATAAGTTTAAAAAATTATGAATAATATTAAAAAAACACTTTCCTATTATAAGATGCTAGCCGGATAATCAAAAAAAATCCGGTCGGGTAAATTAAGAAAAATAAAACGTTTTAGCTTTCCTGAGAATGCATTCTCCTTTAAGGAGAAACTCTTTTTCTAAAAAATGAATAAACTTTCCCTCTTATAGATAATATAAAGTTAATTAAAAATAAATTTAATTAGGAAAAATCTACTTTTTTTCAATTTCGAAAATAAGTGTTATAATTATAATAAATACATGATAATTATTCTTCCCAAGTTTGAGGAGGGGTATAATAATTAAAATTAGTTTTATATTATTTCTAATTTTTAAGAGACAATTATTGTTTTAAAAACTTAACTTAGCTAGTTTTTTTTCTTAATTTTAGTATTCTGGACTTTCCTTTAATATTCCTAAGTTCCTAATAAAATATTTTAATCTTTTTTCCGCAAACTTGTGGAAAATAAAAGATTAATACAATTTTTCATTTGAAAGGTCTAAATCCATGTTGATATAATCAACGAGGACCTTCCAAGGAGTCCGAACAGTATTAATATTGCTAGTACAAATCTCGGAAAAAAATAGTAAATCATTTCTTTCTCGACTCCTATAAGTTTATGTGGAAGGAGAAGAAAAAATATTTAGAAAATAAAAGAATTAAACTTTCACTATCTAAAATTAGGAAATGACAGAATTGAACTATCACCTATTTGGTGTAAGCAAATGGCTCTACCGTTAAGCTAATTTCCTATTATTATTAAAATTCTTAATTTTTTTTTAAGGTCACTTATAAAATATAAAAAAAAGAAAAAGAGTATTAATTACTAGTAGACTATCATTAAGATAAAATCTTTTTATTTTTTTCCAGGCTCTCACAAACTTATAGAAATTAAAATTCTAACCTTTTGGGTTCGGACTCGATCGTGAATGGCTTCCTTCGGGTCTAATAAAAAGAGTACTTAAATTTTTAAGATTATTTTAGTCTTAAACAAAGAAATTCTTCCCCGACCCTCATAAGAAGAGAAAAGTCTAAATTAAAAAGTCATTAAGAAGAATTGAACTTCTATCTAAAAAGTATGAATTTTTTGTTTTAACCGTTAAACTATAATAACTATTTATTATATATAGTTTGAGGGGGTGTTAGTTTATTATAATTTAAATTTATAAAGAAATTAACTAACAAATTAAAAAGATTCCACGCTAATAGTATATTAATCCCTACTATTATTTTTTACTATTATTCCTTTTCTTGCGGAGAGGGATACTTATTATTAAATATTATTGTCAACATAGTCAGTTTATCAGGGCCACAAAGTAAAGTGAATAATATTGATAGACAAGGGCTTATCAAATTACATTATATATAACTAGATGGGTTCTAGTCTAATCTGGCAAAGGCGAAGATAGGGGGTGTTTAGAAATATGCTTTTTCCTAAATAAATCTTTTATAACAATAGTATATTAAACCCCTACTATTATTTATGGATTATAATTTGGATGAAAATAACATCCATTGTTTTTTATATATTTTATTCTTATTTAAGTATCTAGATATATTACGTGTGCTACAATCAAAATATTTAGCAGCTTCTATACAAGTATTAAAAGATTCATATAGTATAGTCTCTTGAGTTTCTGAATTTAATGAATATACAAATACACTCTTACTCATTGAGTTATTTTCACCCTTTTTAGCTGTACTAATTTTAGTTACAGCGTCAGGAGAATGTGATTTTCCAAACATTGGATGGTTTTCACCTTTTTTAGCTATACTAATTTTTTCTATTGATTCTACAGTATGTTTATAGCCTAATAAGGATCCTGCTACTTTAAGAATGTTGTATTCAGGTAAAAGCAAATTAATATAATATTGTTCTCGTTCAAGAATCAATTGATGTGTTCCCTCTAAAGATAAATCTTTTACTTCAATAAATTCAATAATTGTAAGAGAAAAAGCGGAATGAGTGTGATGAAGAAGAGCTCTAGAAATATAATTATTAGCTCGTTTTAAATATAAAGGAGAATAATAATCATTCAATCGTTTAGATAAGTCCATTGCTGATCCAACATAATTTTTACCTGATTTCTTATTAGTCCATAGGTAAATCCCAGTTTTGTTTTTATTATCTGACAGAATTTGTAATCTGTCTATTTCTGCGTTATTATAAATAATTACCGGTTGATAAGATAAATTTTTATTAAATAAAATTATTGTATTTTTCATATTTTTATATATATTTTTTGTTCCCAAAATAATATTAATTATTATAAAACAATATTTAGCTTATTAAAACCAATATTTGGCTTATTAAAACTAACTACTTTATAAATTATTTTAATAATATACTTATTTATTTGATACACTTTATGATAAGAATATACAAGATTTGAACTTTTTCAAAATACTTAATCTTTTTATTCTTTTACTATAAAACTAAGTCTTATATATAAAATGTCCGGACATAAAATAATTGTAAGGCCATCAAGAAAAATATAATTTATTATATT